GCCCACGTGGGCGTTGAAGTCCCCCAGTAGAACAACGGAGTCCCCAGTCGGGGCCTTTTCCAGCACCCCTCCCAGGGACTCCAAGAAGGCCGGGTACTCTACACTGCCATTCGGCCCGTAGGCACAGACGGCAGTGAGAGACCTATCCCCGACCCAAAGGCGCAGGGGTCACCGGGGTAAACTCCAACACATGGCAGCTAAGCTGGGGAGCTATGAGCAAGCCCACGCCAGCCCGCCGCCTCTCACCACGAGCAACTCTAGAGTAGTAGAGAGTCCAGCCTCTCTCGAGGAGTAAGGTTCCAGAGCCCAAGCTGGGATATGTATGGTGTGGTCTCTATATACCAGTGCCTTCACGTTTTGTAAATAAAACAGCTTAACAGAACAGGAGTCAGTATATCTGGTTGTTCTTTACATAATCAAACCAGTGCTAGAAAAGAGGAAAAAGTACAATTATTCTGCAGCTAATCATACATTGTTGCCATGGAAGTTTTAACTGCATCGTGACCAAATTGAATCGTACATACCATACTGTGCACCGAATTGTATTGATCCCAATAAATTTAGCAAATTAGCTGCAACAGGCGGGGCCACTGTGGAGTTACACAGTGTTTGATTCCAGTGGCAGACTTTTAATTACTGCTTCTTTATTTACATGCAGAATTTTTCACTGAACCCATTTATCTGGTTTCTTGTTCTTTCTGTTGTGTCTGTGAACACTTGGATTAGGGTGCTAAGTGTATGTTTATGACAATCACATCGGGAATTTATTTTATCAGTTTGTCTGTGCAGATTCTCAGTCATCCAGGTCATAATATGCTGAAAAAAACGGACAAAAAAAATCAACTGGACTAGATTTCTAGTCACCTAGAAATCTAGTCCAGTTGATTTTTTTCTAAGTTTTTTCAGCCTATTTTATCACTTACATTAAAATGTGCCACACGGTGCAGAAATGTTAAATGGTTTAAGTCTCAGCGAGCAACCAACTGCCTGATGATCAGGTGTGAAATACAACATATAGCATTTACATTCAAAGAGCAAAGTACATCAACTCAGTTGTGTTTGTGGTCTCAGCAGAAAAGAGATCAGACACCAAGCCCCACCCCCTTAGTCAGATGCTCTGTGCTGATTGGTTCTGTATGATGTCAATCATCACAAAGGGCCTGTAGGATCTCTATACAGACTACAGTTGTTTTTTGGCAGCCTGTTTTAATTTTAGATTTAGTCTAGTCTTTGTGTGAAGCTGTCATTTTAGCTTTTATTACTTTGTCATGTTCATACTCTTTTTGGTCTAGTCAAGTTTCAGTCAAATAAAAGTCTGAGCATTTTATTTTTATTTTAGAATTATCCATGACTATTTTCATCTAGTTTTAGTTGACAAAAACTGATGACATTTAGTCTATTTTTAGTCAATGAAAATGTTATTTGTCTCTTCTAGTAATGCAGTTCTATTTAACCCAGTCAATATAGTACAAGTACCTAGTAGTACCTAAAAAGCCTCCAGTTAATCCAAAATGCTGCAGCCAGAGTACTGACAGGAACTAGCAAGAGAGATCATATCTCTCCCATATTAGCTTCTCTCCACTGGCTCCCTGTAAAATTCAGAATAGAATTTAAAATCCTTCTCCTTACATACAAAGCCCTTAATGACAAGGCTCCATCCTATCGTAAAGACCTCATAGAGGTTTTTCATCCTAGGTTTACTTGTGGTTCCTAGAGTCCACAGAAGTAGAATGGGAGGCAGAGCCTTTAGCTATCAAGCTCCTCTCCTATGGAACCAACTCCCAGTCTCAGTTCGGGAGGCGGACACCCTCTCTACCTTTAAGATTAGACTTAAGACGTTCCTTTTTGATAAAGCTTATAGTTAGGGCTGGATCAGGTGACCCTGAGCCTTCCCTTAGTTATGCTGCTATAGGCCTAGGCTGCTGGGGGGCCCCATGATGCTCTGAGTTTCTTTCCCCTCCCCTCCCCTCTCCTCTCCTCTCCTTTCTCTCCCTATGCTTCTATATGACACCATTACGCATCACTAACTTAGTATGTGGCAGTCACCGGCCACATCAACCTGATCAGTGTTTGATTGTTGTGTCTTGTTGCTTTTCTTCTTTTGTCTCTCCTTTATCCACTCACCCCAACCGGTCGAGGCAGAAGGCCGCCCACCAAGAGCTGGGGTCTGTCGGAGGTTTCTTCCGTTAAAGGGAGTTTTTCCTCCCCACTGTCGCCAAGTGCTTGCTCAAGGGGGATTTGTTGGGTTTTCCTTTTGTAATAATAGTGATAACAGTAAGGTCTAGACCTTACTCTGTAAAGTGTCCTGAGATGACGTTTGTTGTGATTTAGCGCTATACAAATAAAATTTGATTTGAATTTGATTTGATTTGAGATACAAACAGTTAGTGCAGTGCACCCTTATTATACTGCTATACCACATCATACATTTGATCCATTTTCTTTTCCACTTCTATGTAATGAAAGTTTTTCCAAATGTCATTTCTTCTTTTTCTCCCAAAGACGAGCCCCGGCTGGCTGGCCATTGGTCCCTTTCTCTGTACCAGACTTAACTTTGTTTGTTGTTGTCTTCTAAATAATGCCGCAAGTGGGGCTTAAGGAAGTGACGTCGCCTGCATCTGCGCAGTGGGACCTGATGCGGCCCCTGAAGCGAGACCCAGGAAACAAAAATAATGCAAAATAATAACGCGACTGAACGAGACAAAATAACATAACATTTTGTTTCATCTCGTTTTGGTCAACGAAAATGGAGACATTTTAGCATAGTTTTTATTTTCTAAACCATATTTAGTCTCATTTTTTCGTCAACATTGCATTATACATTTAATTATAGTCATCATCACATGACCAGCGTTGCGTCTCGTCTTTGTCACGTGATAAAGGTTCGTTGACGATATTTAGTCATAATTTTCATTGACGAAAGCAACATTAGTACAGACACAGCAGCTCCTGGGCCATTGCTGCACCGCTAGAGCATAATGGGCGCAGAGAGAAGGGGCTGCTGGGAGCCAATATGGCGGGTGGGGGGG